AAATGGTAGGAAATTTTAGAAATTATAATTAAATAAGATGTATATTTAGGTAATCTTTCCAACGAAAAAACAATAATTGTATAAAATAACAAACTATTAATTACAAATAAATGCAATAACCATAGTTTCATTTAATTCTAATTCGTACTAAGCACTTTGTCATTCGCCTCTCTCACTTTATACAAACACAAATGTATAAATTGTGTTTGTATAAAGCGAGAGAAAACTATATATACAAATACATATCTCTTCGTCCTATACACTTATAATTATACAACACAAATCTTTCCCTGCTCAGTTCTCTTTTGTCTTTCTCTCTTTCTCGCTTTATACAAACACAAATTATACAAAATACAATGTATAATTGTATAAAGCGAGAGAGATATTTGATATACAAATACAATTGTTTTAACTCGATTCAATTGTATACGAATTCAAATTTCATGCAGATACACAGACACAACACAAACATAATTTTCATAGCCACAGACGTTCGATTTATACAAATCGCTACGATTTATACAAATCAGATGTATGCAACTTTATATAATCAGATGTTGCCTACGATTTTATACAAATTTGATGCTCCATAGCAAACACGCAAATAGCAAAACTGTAGTTATAGAACACTAATATGATTTTTATGTTTGCTAAACCTAAAATTTACTCGAAAAAAAGGAAAAATTGTATGAAACAGTAAACTATTAATTCAAATTAAATGTTATAACCATAGTTTATTTTAATTGTAATTCGCAGCAAACATCCCTTTTTTTGTCATCTGATTCGGTATACAATTAGTCATTTTCGGTATACAATTAGCCATTTTATATATTTCGGTATAAAATGTATAAAATGTATTTGTGTTTGTATAAAGCGAGAGAAAAGTGTATATACAAATACAAATACATATATTTTCGTTCTATACACTTATAATTATACAAATACAGATCTTATTATACAAATTGCAATGTATAAATGAATTTATACAAAATTGAACAAATTGTATAAAATTGGATGTATCTAGAGAATTATACAAATCAAAAGCTCCATAGCAAACATAAAATTTGTTATGGAGTGCAATTATGCAAACTATAGCTATAACATACAAATATAATTTTTATGTTTGTTACATGTGAAAGTCATGATCAAAAGACCACTCAAATATAAAGTCCAAATTACATGAGCCCATGAATCCATGAAAGCCCAATAAAATATGACCCGGAAATCTATCGTCTTATCCGAAGACACAAACACAAGCCAGTAGTTAGTAGTAAGTAGTGACCAATACACTAATGCCAAAAATTCTTCTTCTTCACTGAGAATCACAGAAATGGCTTCACTATTAGGAACTTCTTCTTCAGCAGCAGCAACAGCAATTTTAGCTTCTACACCCTTCTCTGCTCGTTCCTCTAAAGCTGCTGTTTTATCCCTTTTCCCATCTTCAGGTATATAAATAAATGTGTTTTTTCTACTAATTGTGTTCGCATTGTTAGTGGGTGTTCAAATTTTTTGTATATTATGTCATTTCTTGTTTTCCTTTGAATTGGGTTTGGGTTTTTTTTGTGAATTTTTGGGTTCTTGGTAGTTGATTATGAGCTACAATTTTGATGGGTAAGTGTTTTTTTATTGTAAAGATTTATATTTTTGTACTGATTTTGTTCCTACTGTTTGGTGGGTGTTTACATTTTTTTTTATATCTATGCTTTGAATTGGATTTTGAGAGTGTGAATTTGGACTCTTGGTAGTATAGAGCATGTGCATTCAGGTAGTTTTTGGATTTTGGTATTCGTTATTATATGAGGTTTACTGTGTTTAGGTGATCTACCTTGTGGATGTTGTTACGGTTCCTTGCATATAGTTGTTACTGATTTGCTATTCGTTGTTATGCTTCTTCACTTGTTTTTTTTCGTTTTATTACTGCTTTGACTTGCTTGAGTTGAGGGTTTTTCGGAATACCTTGAAGAGGTAGTGGTAAAGACTGTGTACGCTCTACCCTTCCCAGGTCCTACTTTGTGGGTATGTTGTTCTTGGATTCTTGGTAGTGGTTATGAGTTTAGAATTTTTATGGGTTAAGTATGACTTGATGGGCATTGTTATTGCAGGACATAGCCAAGGGAGGAAGTTTTATGGAGGAATTAGACTCCCAGTTAAGAAAGGGAGGTCCCAATTCCATGTGGCAATTTCCAATGTTGCAACTGAAATCAGCCCTGCTCAAGAACAGGTACCAATTTTTTATCGTTTCGGTATTACTTGATATGGTAATTTCATCAGGTGTTTTGCTAAACAGTTGAGTAAATTGTGTGGAAGATTTCTAGTTTCTATATAATATAATGTGGGGTTTGGTGTTTGGTTGTGGAGTTTTACAGAATTTAAGTTGAGGGTATGACGCAATATTGTGTGAGAGGTGGGAAGATTATTAAGATGCATATAAGATGTTTGCTGAAAAGCTTGGACACTGTCCCTTTGTCTACTCCCTCCATTTCAAGTTGTTTGTCTCGTTTCGACTCTACATTGAGTTTAAGAAAATAAAAGAAGACTTTTGAATGTTGTGATCTTAAACTAAAGATCCCTTTAATCTTGTGGTCTTAAACATGTCATTTGTAAAGTTAGAATTCAAGAGTTGCCAAAAAAAGGAGACATTTTTTTCATTAAATGGACTAAAAAGGTAAGTAAGACAAACAAATTGAAATGGAGGGAGGTATTATATTATTGATGGTGGAAATGAATGTTAAATGGAGAGTTGAAAATCAATTTGACAAAGAAAACACAATATCGGAGGAACTTTGGATACAACAACATACCCAGTGGAATTCATCAAGTGGGGCCTGAGGAGGGTAGAGTGTATGTAGACTTTACCATTACCTTGTGGATGTAGAGAGATTGTTTTCGATAAGAGTTACTTTGGATATTTTAATGTATTCGAGTTCTTGAACATTGTAAAAGTTTTACAAAAATGATGTCAATCATGTTGTGATGTCCCAAAGAGGAAAGATTGTCATATACCAAATAGCTCATGGGGAGTATTAAGTTTGAGGGCAAGGATCATCCAAAGTCGAATTCAAAATAGTTTTGTTAGGTTCAGCTTTTAGAAAGTTCCAACACTTGGGCAAAATGATTTATTTGGAAGGCAATGTATTTGCAACCCTTTTTATTTTGGAGGGTTTACCAAGTATATTGATTCCTTTTTGGGACTGATTTGGACTGTTTTTCCTTGAGCTGAGGGTCTATCGGAAACAACCTCTCTACCTCTAAGGTAGAGGTAAGGTCTGCGTACACTCGACCCTCTGCGGATCCCATTTTGTGGGACTACACTGGGTATGTTGTTGTTGTTGTTGTTGTATCAAGTATATTGATAAGCTTTTACCTACGTTGTAATTTTTAGGCTCAGAAACTTGCTGAAGACAGCCAGAGACCGGTGTATCCATTTCCCGCCATAGTGGGGCAAGATGAGATGAAATTGTGTCTTTTGCTGAATGTAATAGATCCAAAGATTGGAGGCGTGATGATTATGGGTGATAGAGGAACTGGGAAGTCCACCACGGTTAGGTCTTTGGTGGATTTACTTCCAGAAATAAAAGTTATTTCTGGTGATCCATTCAATTCAGATCCAGAGGACCAAGAAGTAATGAGCGCTGAAGTCCGTGACAAATTGAGGAAGGGAGAACAGCTTCCTGTATCTCTCACCAAAATCAACATGGTTGATTTACCACTAGGTGCTACTGAGGACAGGGTGTGTGGGACAATCGACATTGAGAAAGCTCTTACCGAGGGTGTGAAGGCATTCGAGCCTGGTCTTCTTGCTAAAGCTAACAGAGGAATACTTTATGTCGATGAGGTTAATCTTTTGGACGACCATTTGGTAGACGTTCTTTTGGATTCTGCAGCATCAGGATGGAACACTGTTGAAAGAGAGGGGATATCAATTTCACACCCTGCTCGATTTATCCTTATTGGTTCAGGTAATCCCGAAGAAGGAGAACTTAGGCCACAGCTTCTTGATCGATTTGGAATGCATGCCCAAGTCGGGACTGTGAGAGATGCAGAACTGAGAGTGAAGATCGTCGAGGAAAGAGGTCGTTTTGACAAGAACCCCAAGGAATTCCGGGAATCATACAAGGGGGAGCAAGAAAAGCTCCAGAGCCAAATCACCTCAGCCAGGAGCGGGCTTTCTTCTGTTACGATTGATCATGATCTTCGTGTTAAAATCTCTAAGGTCTGTGCAGAACTGAATGTCGATGGATTGAGAGGTGATATAGTCACTAACAGAGCAGCAAAAGCATTGGCTGCACTTAAAGGAAGAGATAAGGTAACCCCAGAAGATATCGCCACTGTCATTCCCAACTGCTTAAGACACAGACTTAGGAAGGATCCTTTGGAATCTATCGACTCAGGTTTACTTGTTGTTGAGAAATTTTACGAGGTTTTCGGCTAAGGAGATAGATGGCTTTCTTCTTTGGGTGAGATTTGCCTGCACAAGCTGTTTTATAGAGTAACATACTTGTTTTTGTCTTGATTTTCCATTCTCAAATCATTTAAAGATTTGACAATTGTAAAAACTGAAGATTGTCTCTGTACTGTGCTTAAGAAATGTGTTCAGAATTACCTGTAACTAAACTTACTGGTATTTGATTATTATCAATCTCTGGTTATTCATTCCTTGCTTTGGCCTAAGGTTCCTAATGTTCTAACTCTGGCCTCGTTTTGTCTGACTCGAAAATGAACCCCATAGTCAATCTTTGGTGGGAGTATGACTTCCTTCGTACCAAAGAACAATCCTATGGTTGAAGTTCCAGCAGAGACAAAATACATTACGTATTGTCTTTTCATCTACCTATGCTTTGGAAGACAAAGTTACCCGACAATACCTGTGCTGATGAAAGGTAAAAAGTATCAACTGCAATAGTAGAGGTGCACGCAAGTTGGCCCAAACAGTCACTATCAATGATGCTACTAAACTAAGATGTGTTGCACAGAGAGCAATGGCTAGAAATACATATGAAGGCACATATTTATGTAATTTTGAAGGAACTATCTCTTATGTTCAAAGTTCAAAGGACAAAAGTCCTGCGAAAGATTTGGCAATAACATCTTTCATTGACGACTTCTATTCCAAAATCTAGGTCTTCGTTCAAGAAAATCAGGGGGACGCTGGTACACAACCGATGCAGCTTTAATCAAAATAGCAGCAGTTAAAGCCCATATGATATACTTCTCATTCTCTGTTTGATGATCAAAGAAATGGATTACGTATTTATCTCCCATGTGTTCTAACTCTTGCTCTCGTCGATTCTCATCCTAAACCAACCAACATGTCATTGTAAGAGCAAGTGAGGACGAAATTTGTAGACGAAAAGGGAGTTTGTAGACTTACTAACCTTAAGAAACATTTCTAGAGGTGCATCAAATATTGATGCCACTTCTGCAGTATTTATTAACGGGTTGAATGCATTCCGGTCCCAAAGTATGCCCACAACTGGAATCACTGTAATTCCCTTCTGAGAAAGAAAAAAAGAACACCAATTTGAGCCCAGATCATATAGATCTTATAGGACCAGGACCAAGTTTTAACACGAAGGTCAAGAAACAAAAGATTTCATAGGCTAAGCCTCAATGCCCACGAATAGTTTGCATTTGAAACTTGCAACTGTAACTTCTTATACCAGCTAAGCATTGATCAAGATAAGTTCCGAAAAATGTAACAGATCACTTAAACTCTAAGTAGAAATGACAGAAAATCAGTAGATCATCGACTAGACATTCAGCTAGACGTTTGTTTGTATGACCATTGCTTCTCCTGTTTAATGCAAGTGCTCCAAAAAGAATTTCAAGAACCGTCATTCGATTAGACTCTTTTTAACTTCTCTTGAGGTAAGCAAGGCTTCAGTTGCAGTGTCGATTGTGTGATGGACATGAGTATGACATCCAGTATCAGCTAATCTACAATAGACTTGATAAAAAAAGTTTCATTAGTCTTTCTTTTTGGGGTTTTGAACAAGAAATCTGTTTTCCACAATGCTCTTGACAACTGATTACTTAGTATCATTGTATAATTATTGTTGTTGTTACTACTGTTCTTGGCATATATATGGTCCACAAAGTTTGATCCTTTCAAGTTTGATATAAGAAAACAGGTTAGTATTATCAACTCTGTCCCTACTGGCCATCAATATTCATGCAGCTGAGGAACCTTAAAAGCACAATATAGAGTGTACGCAGACCTTACCCCTACCTTAAAAGGGCATGAGCACAAAATAATATGGCTCAAATGAAGCTAATGGAGACAAATGCATTACCTTGGCGGTAAAGGATTCAAGAACAGTGACAACATCTACAAGTGAACGATCTAATCCAATCTCCTCCTCAGCCTCCCTCAGTGCTGTCTCAATGTCATCGGCATCACCTTCTTCTACTTTTCCACCAGGCAAAGCAACTTCACCTAAAAACATTAAAAATGAAAGGTTAAGCTCAATCTGCAAAGGTTGAGGGACTTGTATCTTAGGTCACAAATTCGAGCCTTGAGCCAAGCGAACTAAATTCAGTCTTTAAGTGGAGAACGACAAAGGGGAAGCCCATCATCCTTGAGTTTCAAATGTTGCGATTGGCCGAATGGATCAGCTCCAGACGGGTTTCTCGATCATAAAAAATGGCATGCATGTTATTCCCAAAGTTAGACTCAGACCTCCAGCCTTGGTGGACAGGTTTACATGAGACCTATGTTTGATTGATGCAATCTCGATGTTTCATTTTATATGGCGTTTATTTGATTGGGCAACTGACTCTCCCACGTCGGTCATGGATGGATCCTTGGTTTCCTTATACGGTCTTGGACAGTTTTCCCACCATGAGTTAGCTTTTAAGGTTGAGTTAGGCCCCAAAATCCATTTCTTTATCACAATAACTATGTCTCAGTCTCAAACAAGTTGAACTTATCTATATGAACCCTTACTATTTCATTTAAACTCATTTCATATCCTCATTATACAAAATAAAATAAAAGTAAGGAGTCAAAAATACATATACTCCCCTTGTTTCAATTTATATGACTTACTTTCCTTTTTAGTCTGTCCCAAAAAGAATGATACATTTCTATATTAAGTAACAAATTTAACTATAAATGTCTATTTTACCATTAATAAAATGATTTACAGCCACACAAATTTCTATCATTTATTTTGGACCACAAGTTTTAAAAGTCATCCCATCTTTCTTAAACTTCATGCCGAGTCAAACTAGCTCCCATAAATAGGATGAAGGGAGTAAATAATAACAATAATAATAATATCAAAAGTTCTCTAAAATAGGTTTTAACTTAGTTAACCTACCGCGGTTACGAGTTTCCTACTTGAACTATCACCAGATATTTATCAAAACACTTGTCTAAACATCTTATAATAGTTCATGTATAAAACTCGCAAAATACTTACCGGAGTATGAAGAAAGTGTGGAAGCTCTTTTGGTGAGGATTACACGAAGATGTCCTTGTGAGTCTTCAAATAGACATACCAAAACTGCAGCCCTGTTTGAATTAGTGTTATTAGGTATTTGGTTTACTCCCAATTCTTGATTTTTGGGAACAAATTCTTGAATTTGGGTATTTATAGTGTTATAAAGACGAAGCCTTTCACCTAATTTCATCTGTCTCTCTGATCTGTTACATGCCATTTGGGCACTGAAAAAGAGGAAAAATGATTTAGGTAGGGAAATGATTATAATCCAAAAGAAGACTGAAAATTGGGATTTTTTATTTCATATCTGATAGCTTCTTATTGGTTGAAATTTTTTATTAATAAAAAAAAATTATTAACCAACCAACAAACTTAACCCGGATCCTTAACCAAGCAATCCAAATCCTGACCCAAAGTCAAGTCAAGGTACGGTCATAGGTTGGTGTCGAGGTTCGGGGTGCCAGGAGTCAGGGTCTCAGGTTGAAGTCACGGTCAGAATTTGGGCATCACGATTAGAAGTTGGGTCTCAAGTATGGGGTTGGAGTTCAGATCGAGAGACTAGTTTGGTGTAGAGGTTGGGAGTTGGAAGTCGGGTCTCGAGACAAGGTCAAGATCTCAAGTCGGGTTCATGAATCAGGTATCAGATTAGGTTCGGGGTGAGAGCCAAGGTTGGGATTGTGCAAGTCTCGGGTTGAGTCCATTGTCAATTGTCTGCCAAGATTATATTAAATGCTTCGGAATAATGTTTTCTTTTAAACCACTTATTTTTTTTAAAAAAAAAAAAACACTTAATTTTTCTTCCTACCAAACACACCCTTGAGTGTTCTACACAATCAAAATACTTATAAATTTACTCTATTTTTTAAGCTACCAATTATATTTATTATAAATAATTATTTATCATTACGAGTAAGTTAACCTAATAATACAAAATTATTATGTATTTGCCGTGCACAAAAAGGTAAACTCCAATTTAAATACAAAACAATTACCCAAAGGAAAAACGAAAATTCAATTAATTACCCTTTCCCTATCAATTACAAAATAGGTCAATGATTTTTACTTTTTAACTATATATAAGAATATATTGAAACCATCTTCTTTGTTTAATTCACATAAAAATACTTTCAACATGGAAAATACTTTAGAATACCCCAATATTATCTCCTCTAATATTAACACAAATATTGATATTAAATATATCATCACTTCTCATTTTTCTTCTTTACCACCTTTAACCATTCAATTTAATATTCATATTCATGAACAACATTGGTTTTATAATCGAAATAATACCAAATCACTTTGTTTCAAAGTCAACCCTACTGAATACATATCACATGACATGTTTTACAATGTAATATAATTTCGGATAAAGCAAAACACCATAGACAAGACGAAACTATGTTAAAGGTTCCAAGTTCGAAAGACAAAAGTCTCTCTCTCGAGAGAGAATTTTGGCAATAACGTCTTTCATTGGCGATTTCTACTCCAGAATCTAGGTGTTCGTTCTTGAAAATCAGGGGGACGTTGGTACACGATCGATGCAGCTTTAATCAAAATGCCAGCAGTTATAGCCCATATTATATACTTCTCATTCTCTGTTTCATGATCAAAGAAATGCAGTACATATTCATCTCCCATGTATTCACGTTCTTGTTCTCGTCGATTCTCATCCTAAATCAACCAATATGTATTCGTAAGAGCAACTGGAGACGAAACACGTAAACAAGAAAGGGAGTTTTTAGACTTACTAACCTTGAGAAACATCTCTAGAGGTGCATCAAATAGTGCTGCCACTTCTGCAGTATTTATCAACGGGTTGAATGTGTTCCGGTCCCAAAGTATCCCCACGACAGGAATCACCGTTATTCCCTTCTGAGGAAAAATGAAACACCAATTCGAGCACAGATCATATAAATCTTATAGGACCAAATTTTAACAAGATGGTTAAGACAGAACAGATTTCAAAAGGTAAGCATCAATGCAGTAGAACTGTACTATTGAGAATAACGTTCCACGAAATGAAACTGAAGCATTTGAAACTTGCAACCCGATACTTCAGTTAGACTCTTTTTATTTACTTCTCTTGAGGTAAACAAGACTTTGGCTGCAGTGTCGATTGTGTGATGGATTTGAGTATGATAAAAACCTACGTTGCTCAGACCCTACAAAAGTATTGCCCTACCTGTGTTGGATACTTCAAAAATACAAAGCTTTTGGAGGATCCAATGCATACCAGTTGTATTTTCAAAGAGTCCGAGCAACATAGATACAAAGTTCCATTACTCTTTCTTTGTCGGTTTTCCAACATGAAACCTAAAATGTCATGTCTAATTTTGCACAGTGCTCTCTCAACAACTGATTACTTAGTACCATTGTGTTACTATTGTTGTTCTTACTGTTCTTGGCATATATATGTTCCATGAAATTTGATCCCTTCACGTTCGATACAAAGAGACGTGCTTGTAGTATCAACTCTGTCCCTACTTGTCATTAATATTTACGGAGCTGAGAAACCTTAAAAGGGCATGAACACAATATAATGTAAGACTCAAATGAAGACAAATGCATTACCTTGTTGGTAAAGGATCCAAGAACAGTGACAACATCTACAAGTGAACGGTCTAATCTGATCTCCTCCTCAGCCTCCCTCAATGCTGTTTCAATGTCATCGGCATCACCTTCTTCTACTTTCCCACCGGGCAAAGCAACTTCACCTAAAAACATTAAAGTGAGAGGTTGAAAGATTTGTGTCGTATGTTACAAGTTCGAGCCCTGGGAGAGGAGAAGGGCATCCTCAGGTATTGAATGTTGCACAAAGGGGTTAATTAGCTCAATTAGCAAAAATTTTATTTACTTTCTTAAACTTCGTGTCAAATCAAACAATTTGAGACGGCACTAAAAGCTATAGTCTTATAATATGTCATCACATTTCTATAACATCATATCATTAAGGGGTTGTTTGGTAACTAGTTGGTTAGAGTTATACAAGTAATTGTAACGTAGAAATTAGTTATGAACAAATCTATATATATTATGCTACACATGAATAACTTACATCCTAACCAGCTACCAAAAGTACTATTACTTATACAGAATTTAATACTTACACAACTCACATCTAAACCAGCTATCAAACGACCCCTAAGGGGGTAAAGTTAAAAGAACTTCCAAATACAAAAAGGGTCCCAATTAACATTATAGTATTATTTAGGGGTGTCAAAAATTAACCCAAACATATGTAACCTGCCCAGAATTTTAAAGGTTGGGTTCAAGATAATTTGAATTGGATTCAATCTGAACTCATTCAAGCATAACCCATTTTAAGAGAATCCTCAATTGAGCCCAATTCAATCTCCAATTTCAACCCTTTTTAAAAAAATTTACTAAGATATATTCCTATATTAAATGTATGAATTATTATTTATTTAACATCTTTTAGGATTTATCTATCCATTTGTTACTTTTTTTAAAAAAAAAAATCTTGAGCGAAAATTCGAATTGTGATTATAAAAGTTAAATATCACTATGTTAAAATTATTGAGATTAATCGGGTCAAGACCCAACCCATTTTTTAGCCCATTTGAACCCAACCCATTTGAGCTCAAAGTAAACTTGGGCGGGTCAAGACCCAACCCGATTTCTATCTCAACCCATTTTAATATCTTCAATTTCAACTCAACCTGCCCATTTGACACCCCTAGTATTATTCATAAACTTCAAATCATGAATCCGTGACGATTACTACGATACCAAGTGAACAACATTGTACAAATTTAACTTCAACAAATCATATAGTTACCAGAGTGTGAAGAAAGTGTGGAAGCTCTTTTGGTGAGGATTACACGAAGATGGCCTTGTGGGTCTTCAAATAGACACACCAAAACTGCAGCCCTGTTTGAATTAGTGTTATTAGGTATTGGGTCTGCCCCCAATTCTTGATTTTTGGGAACAAATTCTTGAATTTTTGAACTTTGGGTACTTATAGGGTTATAAAGACGAAGTCTTTCAGCTAATTTCACAAGGCTCTCTGATCTGTTAGATGCCATTTGGGCACTGAGAAGGAGAAAGGAGAAAGGAGAAATGGAAAGTGTGTTGTTCTAAAAGCTTATAAAAAGCAGGGGTTTCAAATTCGGAAAATTACACAATTTATATATGGTTAAAAATACTATTTTTAATGTATACCTCATTCAACTTTTTGTGTGTTTTCTTGGTCATATTTTGAATTTCTTAATGAAAATTCTGATTGGATTACTGCTAATCTATCTTTTTTCTTTTTCTACTTCAGTGGTCAGATGAAGGTGTATTTTTTTTTTACTGTGTTAGGAGTGTTTTTTTTTAAAAAAATAAATAAATTTTGATTTGATCATTTGATATTTAAAAATTATTGATCCAACTAATTCAGATTTATGTCAAATAAATTCATATCGAGATAAAAGACTTCAAGATTCTCCATTTCCAGACTCAAATTCGGAAAATTACACAATTTATATATGGTTAAAAATACTATTTTTAATGTATACCTCATTCAACTTTTTGTGTGTTTTCTTGGTCATATTTTGAATTTCTTAATGAAAATTCTGATTGGATTACTGCTAATCTATCTTTTTTCTTTTTCTACTTCAGTGGTCAGATGAAGGTGTATTTTTTTTTTACTGTGTTAGGAGTGTTTTTTTTTAAAAAAATAAATAAATTTTGATTTGATCATTTGATATTTAAAAATTATTGATCCAACTAATTCAGATTTATGTCAAATAAATTCATATCGAGATAAAAGACTTCAAGATTCTCCATTTCCAGACTCAAATTCGGAAAATTACACAATTTATATATGGTTAAAAATACTATTTTTAATGTATACCTCATTCAACTTTTTGTGTGTTTTCTTGGTCATATTTTGAATTTCTTAATGAAAATTCTGATTGGATTACTGCTAATCTATCTTTTTTCTTTTTCTACTTCAGTGGTCAGATGAAGGTGTATTTTTTTTTTACTGTGTTAGGAGTGTTTTTTTTTAAAAAAATAAATAAATTTTGATTTGATCATTTGATATTTAAAAATTATTGATCCAACTAATTCAGATTTATGTCAAATAAATTCATATCGAGATAAAAGACTTCAAGATTCTCCATTTCCAGACTCAAATTCGGAAAATTACACAATTTATATATGGTTAAAAATACTATTTTTAATGTATACCTCATTCAACTTTTT